TTTCCACTGCACTTTCCCCTTCTGGAATCATGGCGAAAACAGCAAGGCTTTTCCACCAATGGGCGGTGGCCATCTGGTGCCGAACAATGCACCTAGGCCGTGCGAGCAGGCCAGCAAACAAAGAAGCAGCTTCTGTAGCACGCCTCTTCTTTTCACCGCACTTACTCATTTTGGAAATGCGACGAGAACGCCAAGGACCACCTGTGGCAGACCAGTGCTCCATCGTACATCTTGAGGCGTGATAAGGAGGCGGTGACACCATCAGCACGTGTACGGTGGTTAGTAGCTCTCTAGCCAGCAGAATCAACGACCCTGCCATCTGCGCGGCCGTCGGGAGCGCCATACATGCGGCATCGCTTGCGGCTGTGGCGGTGGCTGTGTTGCGCCCTGCGCCATGCCCGCATTCAGCCGCGCCATCATCACCTCCAGGCGCCTCATTGCTCGGGCCTCCGCCATTGCCAGCATTGGCCGAAGCAAGGCGGCCAGCCACAGCTCTGGTGCGGGTGCGGATGGTCGACGGCAGGGCACGATTGCGGGCGAGGACAGACTCCACAATCTCTAGGATGGTCTTGCGACGGATGCAAGCCGAATCATGCATGCACACTATCAACTGGAATATGGCAAGGTCAGCGTGCGACCACGTGCTCAGGTGCAGCCGCTCGACCCAGCAGCTACTGCCAAGAAGGTGCCACGCCTGCGTTGGGATTCCATGAAGCTCCACCTGGATATTGTGCTCGAAGGAGCTAGCTTGTTCAATGGGTGGAGCGACAGAGTGAAGCCAGGGGTCAAGGCAACGAAAGCAGAGGCCGGCAATCTTCTCTTGGGACGGGCTCCGACGACACTGCTGGAGCGGGGGCTGGGGGCGGCCTCGCGTTGCACTCGCGGGCATTGCTTTTTGCACCGCAAGAGCTGAAAGCTACCTGTGTCGACCTCTGTGCCTCCATTGATGCGGTGCACCTTAGAGCGAGGTCCCGGGCGAGCTGGGGCGGGAACGCACCGAGGAGCTGCAACTATGCCTGGCTCAGGGGGGGCGACGTCGTTGTAGGACCGAGGAAAGGACTACCTCAAAGTCCATCTTGTTGTGCGCACCGACGGGGCTGAGGTTGAGGTCGCCAGAGCTGTTGCGAAGGGATGCCATGGGGCTACATGGGTAGGGAGGGCAGGGAGTGGAGGGCTACCGGCGCGAATATGTCAATAGAGAGGCTGGTGGGCGAGGGTTGGGTTAGGCTAAGCTAGGAGGGAGGGGGCGGAGCGGAGCTAACAGGTTTTTGCACCGCGAGAGCTGAAAGCCACCCGTGTCGATCTTTGCGCCTCCATTGACGCGATGCACCACAGAGCGAGTTCCCAGGCAAGCGAAGGTGGGAACGCGCCGAGGAGCCGCAACTGTGCCTGGCTCGGGAGAGGGGGGCAGCGGGCGACATCGTTGTAGGACTGAGCAAAGGACCATCTAGTTGTGCGCGCTGGCAGGGCTAAGGTTGAGGTCGCCAGAGCTATCGCAAGGGGCTGCATGGGCGGGGAGGGCTGGGAATGGAGGGCTAGCGGCGAGAATATGTCAGCAGCAAGGCTAGTGGGCGGGGGTTGGGTTAGGCTAAGCTAGGAGGAAGGGAGCGGAGCGATCAGGTTGGATACTAACCTTTCACTTATACAACTTTGGCGGCGCTATGCCTCAAACATGCACGACCTCCTCTTCAAGGTCAAGTACATGGGCCTGGGCCTTATGTGCCAGCCTAGATATGGGCTCACAAGCAACACTTCCCTTAAGAGGGGTGATCGATATCTATCATTCCCATCTTGTCACACGCCAAGCTGAATTCACTGTTCTTGTCCTTAGTCAAGCAATCTGCAATTTGTTGCCCTGAACTCACATACTCACTCTTGATAATCGAACATCCAATTTTTCTTTGATAAAGAATTTGTCAATCATGTTGAACTGGGTTGTTTGCTAAGTTAATTGCCAACTTGTTATACCGTAAATTAATATAAATGGTATACCTCACCAGCCACTATGGACTGCAACACTGTCGTGCCCAGTACCTCGCATCTCTGCGCGGCCACAGAATGCACATAAATTTTAGAAGAACGCTACGGGTGATGACCCTTAGTTGCACAACATTGTTAAATACAAGTCCCAACATCATCTATGTCGTAGCAATCATGAGCCGACATACGGAGCAACCATGGAACAAATCCTTGCATGTAGCTCAGAATAAAAATGGCATTTAGCCACAAAAATTGCCTTATTCGTTAGCATGTTTATTGTTGCTAATCGCCAACGACAAAATCGACACACTAGCAAAACAAATCATGCCACCAAACAACCGCTTGAAACCGACATGATCATTCAGTCAAACCAAACTGGTTTAGTAGGCATGTATAGGGACCCGACCTAGCTGACTGGACTGCCCATTTGCATACAATAGCGAGTTTGTCGATGATTACAACCAAATTGGTATCACAAGTTACATCCATACATACCAAATACTTCTACATAAGTAGGGCCGTTATGGCAAAGTCTTAAACATAAACATAGCTCGAGGACGAAATATCAAGCAAGTCTGAATCAAAACTTCAAAGTTGTCTTCGAATGCTAACCAACATGTCTTAACCCTATAGGTAGTTGACAAGGGCACCTTAGCTTGCATGGACGTTGTAAACTCCTTCTGGTATTGGTCTCTCCTTCATGTCTGGTCATCAATTATTAAAAGCCAGATGAGTACACTGAATGTACTCACAAGCAACCAACAAGGATGCTATACGAAATGTATACGAGAAGACAAAGTAAAAAGGAGGGGTCACTATACTATTTTCCATTTGTTGCAGGAAGATGGATTCCTGTTGCAAAACACTAGATTGTAAAGAGAAGTATATCTTTTGTCCTACTACTCTTTGTAAAGTAAACATTTCGTCCTTCAAATGTAAAACCAAAGACCTTGCACCCTTAACTTCTCAAACAAGACAAATTTGGTTCCTCGGCTCAGCAAACCCAGTATTGTTGCGGACACATGTTTTTCCTGGTCTTCTTCCACATGGAAATAGTATCTCTCCTACTAATCACATTTCTTCTTTCTTTCTCGTCCAAACTCTGTTTGTCATTTTACTAGGCACCGTGCACGCGCCTGCAACATTTCCAGACAGTGCCTGACATCTTCTGCGGCGATGGCCAGTGAGAGCGATGCAACAAGGAGGCGAAGGATGTTCGGATAGCGACTAACTGCGGCATGCTTCATGTCCGCCACACCACAACACGCTCGTACCCCGAACTCCCGCTTCGTCAACTCCCACGCGTGACCCTTCCTCTACACCCGCGCTGTCTTCATGTCCACCTAGTGCAGCGACACTTACCGTGAAGTGCCAACATCCCTCGGCAGGCTTGGAAGCGGCACTCGTGCTCCCGCGACAGCTTCACGATGCCCTGCAGCAACCGCCTTCACTCCCTATGCACCTCCTCACCATCTACCCTATCCACAAGCCGTCGTGGCGGCATCAGCACCAAAGCTGGCTCGAAGGCATACCCGTGTAAGCATTCTCGTCAAGACGCAATGCAACCAACATGAGATGTCCTCATCCTCATGTTAGGCAACATGAGCACGCATAACTCCCACTTGTTCAGCGCGCCATCGTCATTGCTCACCTCGCTCGCTTTGCTATAGCACCATTTGTCCTCGAGGGGCCATGCGCCAAGGCGGCGGCTTTAGTGGCAGCATCATCTCCTCCCGCGCGCACAACACGTCAATGCTGCTCTTGGGCAGGCCAGGGCAAAACGGCACCAGCGTTCACAATAGTGGGGTGGTGAGTCGAGTAGAGGCGGCAATGTGGGCGAGCAATGGGAGCAAGATGGGAAAGGAGGATCTCGAGCGCACACTGGGTATTCAAGAAAATGTCGCGATGGGGATGTGTACATTTGGGGTCAACACACACCATGTCATCATAGATACCACTTAGAACAAGTCGGAGGACCGAACTTGTCCAGTCTGAAAAGTTAAGGGTGCAAGATGTCTGGTTTTAAAGTTGAGGGACCAAATTCATACTTCGCAAAGAGTTGAGAGACGAAAAATATACTTTTCTCGATTATGGTTAAAACGACATTTCTTACAACATTCTATGTCATCATTAACCAAGTAATAATCGTTTCAATCTCTATTCATGGAATGGAATACAAGTCTTTCAGTCCATGTCTAGCATATAAGTGACACATCTCCAACTCCAGGTGTTCAATACACACCACTATGGTACCGTCCCAAGTTTCCTATTTTGAAATCAAAGACATCCACAAGTCTAGTGTGACCTCACTAGTTACCCTTGATCATGGACACGACTATCGACAAGAATGCCAGCCATGTCGTGCCATAGGTGTATGCAAGAACAATACATAACTTATCCCCTACTCAATGTTAACACAGAACCTGCTTAATGGGGTACTGCCCTCCAACACTAGGCTCGACACAAATATTTAGCAACCAACCAGAACACACGCCACTCCTAAAGAAGGGGTTGCTATTGTCGATACATTTTCAATGAGACCCATCACTGTGTCCAGATAACCATATCATCAATCATGAAGGTCCTATCCAAGAGCCAACATAGAATCTCCTGCACGGTTCCCTACTCTACCAAGGGTCCTATGCTTGGCCAAATGAGGTACTAACCCATATTGGGGTAACGTGGTCGCACATGTATGGTTTGGGTAGGACCGAGACTTAAGGTTTTGTAAAAGAACATCCTCTGATTCATTCTACACTTTAAAAACCTCCTTTCTAGAAACCTTGGGCACTAAATGGCCCCCAAGAGTAGTAAAATCATGCGAGTCTTAATTAGTGATTCTCACATGTCCTATGATTTTATGTGCCAACCATATCCAAACTTGTTACTATTAGTCTCTAAATCCCACCTATTTGGGTATGAACAGTGGGTGGGTGTCAATAGCTAAGTGGCAAGGATTATTATTATCAATTCCCATGTTTTTTGCGTTAAGGTACAATAGGGCATAGCAAATAACATTTCTAGGGAATTAAGTAATGTAACAATAAAAATAATAGTGGTTCAGCCATGGGATCAACATGATCAGACGAGGTTCTTACCTGGTTTGGCAGAATCTTCAAAGTCCTCAGGACCATCATCAAAATTCTACACAATGGTTTCCTCTAATTGCAGATAAGAGAACGAATTTTAGAAATAATGAATAAACTAATCCCAAAATAATGCAAAAAAATGGTATTATTGGGTTGAGTTATGAATTCTATGAATGTACAAATAATAAATCACTAAATTGGCTTAAATATGGGAGATATTAATGTTCTTCTGTTTTCGTTCTTGAGTAAAACATTATATGCGTTAATCGATGAACAACCACCATGTAGGCTTAAGTTAAACCCTCTATATTACTATAAACGATGACACAATTTATATTACTATAAACAATGACATGATGACACATGGAACTAAACAAATGTTACACTCTTTCAAAAAGGGAAAGTATTTCAAAGGGGGTACACTTTTAGTAACGATCTAAACCTACTAGTAGGTTCCACCGATCAGATTTAAACCATTACACAAGCTCGTTGAAAGTAGGACCCGTTAGTAATAAGTGTGATGGTGGTAGAGAAGAGCTCATCAAAGTTCTACCTGGTGGTTGAATGATGACAAGCTAGGCTACGGGAGCAAGCATGTCGTCAAAAAAGGCTCCACACCGACTAGTGATGGTTGGGGGTCACGACATGGAGCATTACAACAATTAGGTGGCAAGGTCAAACATGGGCTCGTCAATGAGCTATCTTTCTCATAACCGATGAAGTAAAACAATGAGGGCAATGACCAGGAAGCGAGGGGTCGAAGGGATCATGGATTTCAAACTAGAGCCGACAAGAACTTTGTCAGACTGGGTTAATTCACCAAATGTATAGATATTCAGCCAGTACACATGGCATGGTCCATGGGTGCAGTGGAGGAATTCGGGATGCACATTCAACGAGGTTGAGTGGTAGGATAGGCAACTCGTGTGTGTGTGGGTGGGGGGGGCACAAAGGCGAAAGTGTTGGACATAGTTCCAAGCAGATGTAGAAGGGAGTGGGGAAGTTGCGCACGGCTAGGGTGCCCGCGGCAGAAGCAAAGTGGATTATTGTGAACATCGAGTTGAGAAACACACACAGGGCTAATTAAGCTAGTGGGCCAAGGATGCTCGCGGCATGTATTGGCAGAGCATACATGCATGAGAAAGAGGAAGAGGGAGAAGGGTAACACAAATGACGTGACGGAGGTGCGGGACACCGACGCGGTTGACTTCAAGCGAAGTAGAGGCCATGTTGGTCTGCTTCCCAGATTGGCCATTGGTGCGGTGACGCTAGATCGCGCACCCAAAGTGTAGATTTAGGTTGCTCTAGGCAAGAGAGGAAGCAACAAGAAGGATGTTTGGGGATTGGGCTGCTATAGCCGAAGGAGGAAAGAACCAAGGAAGAGGATTGTGAGGGTTCCCAACTCGCTAGAAATGAGAGGGCAAAGGAGAAGGGCTAGCACAAGTCAGATTGAGCAAAACTGCCATGGCATCTGATGCTATTGGATTGGACGCGCGAGAGTGTTAAAAAGAACAAGATATTTTCTTAAAAGAGACTAGGTTATCAAGGTAGAAGGAAGAGGAGCACCTATTGGAATCCTTAGGGTATCTTCAAAAAATTCTAATTTCGGCACTTGGGTTGAAACCCAGTCCCTGGTTTAGTTTTCCATGAATAGCAAGATTGACAACACTTGGAGCAAGTTATAGTGGACTTCGGGTGCAAGTTCCCAGACCTCAAGCGACAAGGCCATAACAGGGAGATAGGAGTTAGGATACAAGTATATTCAAAATCAATAGAGCTTTAGCAAATTACCTAGATGCCTTGTGAGATGATCCCAACAAAACATATGTTGAATCTCTCTTGATGTTTTTATTTCCTTCTATAGACAATCTCGAACCCATCTCTTTGTTGTGCTGAAGCCTTCTCTTCTTTTCAAGCCTTTCTTTAATTTCCTCTACTTTTGTAGTGTTTGCCTTCCTTTGTGAAGGACCAGGTGAACATACATAATCCTACATCAATAGAGAAAGGAAGGTGCAGATAAATTGTTATTCTTAAGAAGTCAAAGTGCATTAATATCACAACTCATTTCATGGGCTAGGGACGCCGAACCCTTATCATCACCTTCGCTCAACTTGAACATCCATGACCTTGCCTAGAGATTTTTCTCTATCGTGGCCTCTCCTTGAGTTCGAACCTGGTTGCCTCATGTATGTTGCCTTGATTGAGTCTTACTAGCAAACTTCACATGCCTTTCTATTTTAGTTGTTCCCTCTTTCTGGATTTGAGCTACTCTAGAGGTTAAAGTTTTTCCATGAAAATACCACCTAGTAGGCTCCACTACTGCAACTCTACCCTCTGACCTCCCATGTACCAAGACATCCTCTCATTCGCTGTTATAAATCCCTTATGACTAGTTGGGGCTGCTTGGCTATAAATTGCTATGAAGGCATGCGACTCTACTTGACTTGACGATATGAAAAACTTCATGCTACTGCATGACTTACATGACTATTGGCTATTGAATACAAATGGTTGATCAGGCTTCAAACAACCCTCTGTATGACAAGGAACCCTCCACAACATTTAGAGGCCACCTCGTGGCTATAATCTAACCTCGGCTAATTTCACACTTATTTCACGGGCATGATAAGCCCCTCCCTCAGAGATCTCTACTTTTCCTTCCTTCGCATTCTAGGCTCATGCACCTTGTGGGGATAATCATCCTTATGCCTTTGACCAACCCGTCATGCTCATAGCGCCTCCAACAAAAATGCTCATACTACTCAGGTTTGTAATCATCATGGTGGAAAGAAGACTTGCAACCCTCATCCCAACTCCCAAGTCCATGGCCTAGCAAACACGAGATGGTGTTGCATCATCCATGATCATGCTACCTATCAATGGACCACATATAAGCTACCATTCTAAGAAAAAGAACCAGATCAATATGGTAATAGCATAGTTACGAGATTCAGTGCGAATGGCTTCAAACTATAATCAAGATTTTCACAAGGAGTATTAGTAGAGTACTCCCAAGTCTAGATGAGTACAAGTCTCATGTACTATATACTTGTCCCTTGGGGTATGCAATAATTC